ATTTGTGGGGCTCTGTTAATTTGTGAATTGCAGTGACTCACCCTAAGCAGTTAAGCATTTCAGAGGCTAAATTATGTCATCAGATCCAGCTGATCCCTGTGCCTTCTCCCTCCTACCAGCACTACCAATGCCTTTTTTTTGCATTACTTAAGTTTTACAGTGTAGTGCTTTTATCCAGCCAAGGGATTTCTCTGTGGGAATTGGATTTTTTTTTTTTTTTTTTTTTTTTTTTTAATAACAAATGTAAATAAATTTCTAACCAAGCTGAAATTCATGAAAAACATGAGAGGGAAAAATGCATTTCTAGTTGAATATCTAAAATAAAGTCTGAAACAGACTCCATGGGATGACTAAAATATTTGATCTTACTATGTGATAAATAGAGTACTAGTAAAAGAAAATAAAAGGAAGAAAAAGAAAAAAAAGAGAGCATGGGAAATCTGATAAACATGGAAGAAACATCTATCACTTATGTCTCATAATAAAAACTAGTTACTCTCAGCTAGTATATTTTAGGTTTTCCCACAGTCAGTGCTAAATCATAGCTCCTCTGCAGTCCAGGTGATTTTAGCTTCAAAGGATAATAGAATACACATACAACAATTACTTCCAATCTATCCAGTTTGGGCAGATGGACTTGAACTCAGGCCCTGCATTCTTAGGAAGTGTCATGTTCTACTTGCACTCCATTATAGACAAAGACCAAATGCTGGTCTGTTGTAGATATAGGACAAAGCTGCACTGACTACAGCTGAAGCAAGATTTCCCTCCCAGGGATTGATTCTTCATTCACTGGTGTCAAAGCAAAAGCTGTCGAATACCAAACGAGAACCCAAAAAAACCCAAACACTCTGCCTCTTTATAATCTCTTATCAAGGAACATAAACGTGAGAAAACCATGGGTCCTTTCATCTTTTCAAATGACAAAACGAAGGCAATTAGCTTTCAGATTTCTACTGAAGGTAAAAGGATCTTCACAGTGGTCAAAGATGCAGTTGCTTTCTTTATCTAGATGGTCTTTTCTTGCATATTGGAGAACTATCAGCTCCACATTCTATCATTTGTGCAATGTTTTCATTAGCAGCATTTTAAAATAAGCTCTGCATTACATTTTGCACAATGCATGAGGAATGTAAATGGCGAGGAAGATGCTACTGAAAAAATCAATAGGGAAACTATAATTTAATAATACATCCCATTTCACACGTGAACTGCAAAGCAATGTGGAAAAACTAATTAACTAAGTGCCAATGCAATGCCATTGGGGAGCTCAGTATTATTCTGTATTCTGCACCCTCAGATTTTTCTTAGACCTTTCTTCTTGTTGACAGCCTGTTTTGACATCTGGCATCAAAGAGTACTGGAACCTTTTGGTTTTCCAGGGCTAGGGTTGAACGCCCCAAGCCAACCATCTGCCTGCTTTCGCTGGGTTTTTGAGCCTCCAGTTTATCTGACTTCATATAGCCAGCTGTAAATACATTGACTATCTCAGTGGTTTTGTTCTCCAAGCCAACCAGAGGTGCTTATGGCCAGCAAAATAGTCTAAATGCGACTAAATCAGCAACACAACTTGTGGCAAAAGCTTTACATCAAGAATGAGCAACTTCAGAAGATCAAAGCACTATGAAACGTGAGCAAAACCGCCTCTTCTCCTCAGGGACTACTCATGAGGACTGTGATTGTGCATGGAGAGGAATACCAAGTTACAGTCCTCTTGGAAAGCTTGGATCTTCCTTTAGAAGGACACGGAGCCAGTCCCTCCTCTGTACTAAAAGGACAGAAGCCATAGAAATGCATGGAGCACTAATTACACATGTCAGAACTGGGCCTGGGCTGTATAATGTTATAATCCACGGCAAAACCAATACAACCTGAATTATTATTATTTTCAGGAGGTATAAACTCAAGAGAAAAATAAACAAGATTGATATAAAAATGTTTTTGATATATTTGCTTTCTCCTTTTTTTTTTAAAGGGCCTTTATAAAAGGCTGTCTGTGAAATCATTCCTGATATCTGCTCTATCTGCTCTCACTGCCTTGCAGTGAGCTTGGTATAATGAAATGTTGACAATATTCAGTATAATTCAGAATTCACCGCCCTGGGAGCACTGATTCAGTATTCATGTCAAAATAAATTTAGCACTGATTTCTAATCTCTTCATCACTAGGAGCACAGTACAAATTCATAAATTTTAATTTTTATTTTACTTTAGTAAGTGTAATTACCTACAACATTCATAAATTAAAGCAGTGTAAGAGAAAGATGCTGGTTTGATCAAAATTCATAACCTGATCCTATTGGGCATTAATTTTAGTTTATATTGATCCTAACTAAAAGACAGATTATTTGCTTTCATAAAGGCTAAGAGAGAAATCACCACATCCATGCAAAGCTACAGCCCATATTAAACCTGAGTTATTTTTCAAAACAGACAAATAATAAGACCCTTATGACCTCAGGAAGCAATGAAATTTGTGGGGAAAGAACATACTTTTTTTTCATGGTAATTACCTCTCTCTGGCAGGCTCTGTGAACTTAATTCCTCCCCAGACTGACTCTGGCATTACTACAGAGTTGACTTTTAAATCAAGACTTTCTGGGCACCCTGAGCAAGCAAGAGCCTTCAGGGCCACTGAGCTCTTCCCAGCAGCTCCTTGTTTGCTACCTGGCAGCTTGGTATGATTAGCCACCTCCTGCCTTAGCTGGACTTGTGTCTTCTCTGGACAATAACTGCAGGCAAATACCCTGCAGCAAAGATTTTAGTTAAGCTCGCTAGGGTATGGCAGCAACCTAACTCCAACCACCAGGCAAAGAATAAACAAACACATATGAAAATAATTTTCCAAGTGGGTGATTAGCACAAGTATGACAGGTGCTCCTCTGATAGCTGAGGTAGCTCACTTAGAGCTAAGCTCACCTTCCACAATTCACCACAACTGAGTGTGAACCCTTCCTTGCTGACTACAAGTGGTGCAGTACCCAGAGAAACTCAGCTAATGCTTCTTGTTCTCTGTTTTTACAAGGTCTAAGCTCATTGGGTCCTAATTTGGACCTGGTGTGCTACTGGCATTCTATCTATTTTATTTATTTTAATACGTGATAGTGAGCTAAAGGGAGTTGGTTGTTTTTTTTTTTTGCGGTTTGGGTTTTTCTTGTTATTTTCTCCCATATTAAACAAAGATTTTGCCCTGAGTCTAGAACTGAAGTGTCTAAACTTTAAAAGGCTGAGTTCTTCAAAAGGAAAAAACCAGTCCCCCTGTAACTGCACTGCTGGAGGCCAGAGATATATTTATCTTCCTTGTCCAGGATGTGACCCTCACCTCCACTAACTGTATAGTGCACGAGCAGATTGGGTTACCTGTCATATAGCTTCCATCAAACAACCACTAAACACATTTTGGCCTCTGTTTCTCCATTCTCTTCCTTGATTTTTCTGTCACTGGCAACAAAAATGAATGGCTTATCCTTCAGACTATATCAGCTCAGGACACCACAGCAGGAATTATGAGGCTGCAAGTTATTTCTCAGCTTTATTATAGACTCAGTTCATGCTTTTGCATAAGGCCTTTACACCCAGATTCTCTGTAATAACTAGGCACCTAAATATTGGTGAAATGTCAAAATTCTTCCGAAGACCAGGGACTTTAAATCCCTTGTGCCTCAGCTTGCTCTCACATCTGAATGTCTTTGGTAAAGATGTCTACAGAGAGATGTAGCCCACCATGGACCCAGACTGCATGTTCCATTTGAACTCTGGTTTGGATTTTACGTGATAAGATTTAGTCTATGTCCTTAACACACAGGACATCTTTGCATTATCTCCTTGATCCTTTGTAAAAGTTAGAGCGACCATTAGTAATTTTCAATAGTCATAATGGGTTTAATATGATAATGGCATGCCCTAATCAAATAAACTCTACACATGGGGAATCTTCCAAAAGCTGAGAAGACAAAATGGGAATTATTTTGTTTTGATGTATTAAAAAAAATGGTCCCAGCAAAAGAGATAATGAAACCTAGGCCTGCAGAGGGATTAAATTAACTTAATGGACATGCAAACTAAATATGCAGAGATACTCGCACTCCTCTCTGAAATGTGGAAAACTGGTGATCTTGGAAACTTTCCTATCACTTGGAGCACATAACAAACATCTGAATTGTTGTGGTGCAGAGTGCAGCTGCAGACTTCTTTTTGAGATTTTATTTGCCTAAAACTGACTATGGAAGATTCTTTTCAGTGCAGAACTAAGGTAATGGAAGACAACAAACATTTGCAGTTTACTTTTTTATAGTTTATGCTTTGGCTCTTAATGCTGTAATGTCAGAAATTAGATTAAATTGGGTGCTGGACAGAAGAGGAAAATGGGTTAAGTGTTTAGATAGGTTAAGGGACAGTGTGGCATCTCATTTAGCAAGAAGTGAATTACTACTGTCATTAATAATGTATGCCTAAGCATTAGCATAATGTTCTGTTATTTACCTGCTCCACTCATTGTGAAAATTACCTTAGAAGTCACCCCTGATTTTCTTCGCTTGTGCAAGCACACACTGTGCTTTGTCATGACTCACATCCTTTCCTCCAAATTCTTCCACGAATGTTTTGTTTTGTAGAACAAGAAACCTGCCACAGTTTGTGTAAATAAACTTTTGCTTTGCATACAGGCATGTTTATTCAAAAAGAAATGAAGCAAGGCTGAGTTGAATATGCAAAAGAGAAAGAAAGCTACAGGTGACATTAGTAACACATTTTCAGAGATCTTGAGGAATCAGGAATTATTTGTTGTTATCTTTATGTCCTAAAAAAAAAAAATAAATAAAGGTGCCTAAACACTTTGGACTCACCTTTGCATTGCTGAATTCAATATTATTAAAGAAGTCCTTCTTAAGAAAAAAAAAAAAAGATTGGTAATCCACATACCTAGGGTCACAGATGATGAATCTTCTGCCAAGGTATTTTTGGACCAATTCAGGAAGAAGCTGAGTACAAGCTCATTCTGAAAGAGAATAAAAATACTGTAGATATTATCATATGTTGTGCTCTGTTCCTTAAATTATTCCCCTCAAAGAAGATTGCTGTTAATTTTTTAATGTATATATTAGATTTGGCAACAAAAGGGAGCCTTTCCCTTATGATTATGGGCAATCATAATGACTTCTACTCAGGCACTGGGAAGATGATGGTGCCCATTTCCACTGTCCCAGGGATGCTGCACTGGTGCCCACCTGGCCCCTATCTGTCATCACACTTCCAGACAGCAGTGTGCTGTGTGGGCCATGGATCTGCACTCTTGCTTGATCTCCAGTAGCTCAAGATTTGTATCAGCTGCTTTTCCAGAGTGGCCCATCTGTGAATCAAACACAGGAGCCCATCTTTGCTGCCTCCTGTGTAGTCAACATGAAACTCACCCTTGGCACGGGACCGACCCTGGGGATCTGACCTCGTGTGGGCCTCCCCGAGGCTTAGATATTGTGTAAACCTCCCTCACGTGGCAGCTTAATGGACACTTACACTGAAAAGCTCCATACAGAGTTAAATCCTATCAGAAACCCACAGGGAGTGGAAGGAATGATCGTATTTCACCATCCTGTTTAAAAGAGTAATCCACCTTACATACTGCACTATAACTTTTATTTTTATGTACTGACCTGTGCTGCTCTAGTGAACATAGATAACAGGTAGTTACATTCAGCTGTAGGGAATTAAAACAATAAACCAAATCCCCAGATTTGAGTATTGTGCAAGGCAATAAAAATGTGAATTCTGAAATGGACTCTCATGACTCTGAATCAAAGGTGGACAGTAATTGCATTTTATTAGCTTTTCCATAAAGTCGTGTATCAGAATGGCCATTCTTTAGGATGGTTAGAATTGCTACATTCATGCTGATGTTACTTGGACTGACAATGTAATGAATGGGTAGAACAAGAGACTTTTCAGATTCTAGCATTAAAATGTCACCACTGTTTTTTTCCAGTCTGCGGAAAATAATGTGTCTCTTACTGGGAAGATGTACTTCATGTAGCATTTGTGTTGTTTCAGTTTGACAAGATGTGGTGTAATTTGTGCAGGGAAAAAAAAGAAAAGGAAGAGGGTACTGATAAATGCAGCTAGGGAGGAGTTAACGTGGTTACAGCAGACAGAGGAACAAGATGTGCATGTTCATTGTAGAGATAAGATTTAGCAATTGGGATTTACTTTAACAGTTGCCTTTTATTTTTCATTCTACTGTTTGGAGTTTTTCCTCCCACTCTGATATTTTCTTCAAAAGAAAAATCAGGGGGAAAAACAGGAGAAACCAACAGAATTGTTTTCCTTGAATCGAATGACAAATCCTTAGGCTATTAGCTGTGGACTGCCAATACACCTGCCTGTCTGAGCATGACTAATTATTCTCTCATCTGATAAGGACAGCTTACAGGGGAAAGCCCATACACCTGCTTCAGCTTCCAGTAGCTTTAAACAGGCAAGTTATTCCCTGTGGGACCTTCATTCCCTCTTTCAGCACAAGTCCCATGTGCAGGAAATCTCTAGGGCTGAGAGTATATTTTTGGCAGCCCTGCCTTTATTTGACAGCATGAAAATAAGCAGAGAAACTCAAGTAGCCCTTCAAGTTCAAAGATCTTGAGAGAAGTGAGCAGGAGTTGGAAAGAAAGATACACAAACTGACTTGAAAGAGAAATAAAAAATTCCACACTGAGCAGCATGGTGTTCTTTCTGCTTCCTCTCCACCTACTCTTTCTGAAATAAATGGAAATATATGAACTGGGAGGTTTGTAAATAGGAGATGCAAGGATTGTTTCAGGCAATAGTTCCAAAGTCTCATTCTAAAGGAGAACAACACTGAAAAAAATGACATTTGGTTTAAGTACAGAAGTGGAGTTCAAGCAGATCTTACAACAGGCATGAACAGGACAGGCATGTACACTGCTGGTGCCTCAGCCCTGACTGCAAAGCTTTCCCTGCCTGTGTGTCCATCGTACCCAACAGGTACTGAAGCTCAGGAGGAAGCAGCAAGGCTAATGCTGGCAAGAAGAATGCAAAAACCTAATGGAACAGGTCATGTGGCAGGGGCAGATGAAGCAGGCTGTCCAGGGCTAAGTGCTTCAAAAGCAGTGAGGGGGACGTCTCCTGTGTGTTTGGGGAGATAAGCATTTTGCACACGTATTAATAAGACAGCAATTTCCCCCTGAACTGTGCTAATCTACCTGCTGCAGGACTCCACCATTTAGATTTCCACCAGCAAAGTGTGTCAGTGCTTTAAGTTCACCCTGTGTCAGCAGAGCTGCAAAGCACACACTGAACTCTCAGGTGATTCCGAAATCGGTGGGACCTCGATCACTTGGACTCCACTTAATAGGACTGTATAAGCTCAGAGTTAGGCATGCATCTAATTACACTGCTAAATAGAAACAGGTATATTACAGCTTTGAACATGTGTATGACCACACTGCATAAAGTGGATAGAGCCCACTTCTAAGCAAGCAATTGTTTTTTAGGAAAATGTGACCCTTGGTGGGAATCTTAGAGACCCTGAGATGGTCTTGGCAGATAGGCAGGTGTTGAGGATGACCCCAAGCACCCACTTACCCTTTTCCCCTCTGGAATTTTTATCTTTAAATCAGAAGATGGAAATTCCCTACAATACCACACACCTATGGATTCTTAGGAATGCCTCCTATAGTTTGTCTAACCATTCTTACCTAAGAAAACAACAGTCTTTAATAGGTAACATTGATATTTTGCAGGTCACTTAGTAGCATTAGCCTAAAGGGCAGCAGCCAGGTATATATGGGCAGTTTGGTTAGAACTCACACATCCTCCTTTTTTTTTCAGCCATTAAACTCAAAAGAGACAAGTTCTCCTTTTAGTTGCACTAGGATAAACAATTTCAGTGGCACCAGGGGGGCTGGCATAGCCGTGCACCAGTTTAGCAGGGTAGAATTTGTCTACTGCTCTCCATCAGTGACTAACTAGAAAAGCACTCTGCTGGTAATGAAACACAGCCAGATTTCAAACCAGATTTAATTTTGATAGAAAGAAAAGCGGCCTCCCTTCTGCTTTCAGCTTTCTTTTCAGCTGTGTTAGAGTAGATTTGGGGTCAGAGAACACCCATGCGCCTGTTATACTTTAACAGGATGGAGAATCAGCAGGAAAGAAAGAAACCAGAAAAAGCTGACCTTGGTGCAGCTGTTAAAACTTCAGGAAAGGACGGCGGAAAAGAGAGGACTTTGAACCCTCCCCATTTTGGACCAGCTGGATGCCTTGCTGCAGGAGTGCAGGAGTGGTGGGAGTTCAAGGGACCTGCACACCTCGGGGGCACTTTGTACCACCACGTTCTGTGCCCCCCCATGGGCACTGTGGGAGCTGTTTTCTCATCTCTGCAAATCCCGAGTAGTGCCAGTGAATAAAACACAAATGAAATATGGGAAGCTCTTATCAAACTTGATTACTTTTACAGTGTAAAACATTAGTCACTCTAGAACAATGCTGTGGTCCTCATTTTTACTGTATGCTTGAAAATGAGTGAACATAATTTACAATCACTTCCATTTACACCCTCTTTAAAGCCCTTTTATACAGCCTGTAAGTCACCATAAAGCTGTTTATAGAACCTATCCATAGCTGAAACACTGCCACTGTTTACTTACCTGCTTGCATTAGATTTATCTTTGCCCCCAAAGTCCTTATTTAATTTGGATACTTAAAAAAGCTTTACAGACTCAAATCCCAAAAGACCTAATTTATTTCTTTTTTATACTGATTAGCCTACCGTGCACCTGCACTTACTATTATGTTTGTCAAATGCCCTCACCACAATAAACAAACCCCCTCAAATATCCAAGCCCACTGAAATTGCACACAAAACAAATCTGTGTGAAAGACATTGGAAAAATGACATCAGCTCATTTAAGACTATGTAGTTTTGCAAGGTCAGTATGTAAATCTAATGTCTGAGCTGTGTTATCAATAACTCTATAACATCCAGTTATTATATTATAGTTATTATATCAATAACTATATAATATCCACAAATTAAACACCACATCTTTCAAATGATGAGAGATGGGAAGATTATCCATTCAATGTTACCAGCTGGCTGAGGGCACCAAATGCACAGTTGCAATGTGAAATATTGCTTTAGGGTCAGTTTTAGATTTTTCACTTGCAATGCCCAAGCCATGTGCAAGTTGTCTTTCCAAGATAAGCATGAAGACATTCAGTTTTGTGAATGCTGCAGTTTGACACCAGGGCCAAAAGCAGACTGAATTAATGGAGCCTTACCTTGCTTTTGTGTCCCCAGGCAATGTATAACCCTTCTACAATACAGCTGCAGAATGACAAGCCACTAGGGCAGCCCTAATTCATATTATGAGATTTGGGCTGAAATCTCCACTCAGCCCATCACTCAGTTGGAGTTGAGGGAAACAGAAAAATGTAACAGTAGTCAGCAGCAGCTGCCTTTTGTCACAGGTTTGATTTACACTTTGAGAATGTATATTTTTGTCTCCCTCTGTGTTACCAACCTTCAGTTCACTGGTTTTTGATGCTTCACCTCTTATTGGTGACATCACTTGGTGTTTTGGCAGTTCATGAAGAAAAACTCCATAAGTCTAAAGGTTGTTGAGGATGTTGCCTTGCAGATCTAGAAAAGCCAGGTACTTCAGTGTATACAGACAGTGTGTCAGGCAGAAATCCTGTGACTATAAATATTGCCACTGGTTTGGGAGGAGTAGAATGAAATTAAAAAAAAGGTGCTGAAACCTGTTTTTGGTCCTGTCCTAATTGACTCAGTACAAAAATGAAGGTTCTGCATTTAAGTGATTGATGTAATGAATACAGGTTGTTCTTCATGTGTACAGTCTGGTGGTGGAGTTATTTATAACAGTGTGTTAACCTGAATTTAAGAAAATAATTTCTATTCCAGGCAATTCTTCAACAAATATCTAAGAGGAAGTCAATGAGTGAGGCTTATGCTCAAATTTAAACTACAGACTTACAAAATTGCTTTCAATAGAGATGAGCATATTTAAGCATTTAGACTAGTCCAAGAAAAAGAATCTCCATCAACTGATGTGTCTGCATTTATTGTATCTGATTCTAAAGTTCAGAGATGGAGAAAGGAAAAGTTTCTTTATTAAAATAGGGTTTAAAGAAACATCTCATTCCATTTGAGCTCAATGTGAATGAGAACAGGCAGCTGTTTTCCACCTCTACTCCTTCATTCCAACCATTTAGCAAAAAAGGTCAGTGACATTCTGACATACTCTTAATTATAATACAATTAGCATAATCAGAACCTAGTCTGGACTAAAAAGCATGCACTTAAGGCATGACTGAGGAAGGAATTTGGATATAATCTGATTCTTTCTTCATTTCTAGGATTTATAATTACTTGATTGGTAGAACCAAGCATGTAGTCAGTCCTGTGGGGACTGGACTAAATTTTTCAGAGCTGAAAATGGTGCCTAGTCAATCAGGGTAATGTGTTTACAGTGATAACAAGGGTATTTTATAATGAAATAAAAGCTCTTCTCTCCATCTCTGACAATACTCCAGCCTTCTGTACAGCTACAATACAGCTACGATTCACTACAGGTACATTTCAGCCTAAAGAAAAGACTGTGGCAAGGAAGTAAAAGGAACTCTGCTCTACTAGATTTCTTCACAAATTTATGAATTAATTATTTATTTCTATATAGTTCTACTATTTCATAGGAATGACACTTTGGTAATGCTTGAGAACAGACAACTCACTAAATGGTTTCAGCCAGGCTCCTTGGCAACTTGAGAAAAAGGGCAAATTTGACTGCAAAGTTGTCACAGGCATGAAAAGAGACAAAATAATTGTATTTATTTTTATCAAGAAAGCCTCCTAGCTTGGCTTTCTGCTCAGAATAAAACCAAGAAGACTCCACGACACTTTTAAAAGAGTCATACCAAAGTGAAAAGTAAAAAAAGAATACAAAGGAAATTACCCACCGGCTGATCTCCTTGTTCTAAGTGGGTCAGAACACGTCGGTATTTTCTAAATTTCTCACATCTCCCAGCAGGAGAAGCATACTGAAGTAAAAATAATGATTCAATGTTTATGGAGTATCAATAACTTTAAAGGTTACCATCTAGAATTGCAGGTTAGCTGCATGGGGGTAAGCCAGATGATTTCCCACATGCAGCAGGACTTTACAGATGGAAACAATCCACTCATTGCTCCGTTTGCTGTCGTGCCCTCTAAGTCCACCACACCAGCAGCAGCGCAGCCCTTTTAGGCACAGAATTGCTTTCTTCTCCTCAAGGTTCAGTACTACAGCCTGTACCAGCCTGGAAATAGCCCCCCTGGGCTTGTTCAGAGCCGCAACAGCGTGTGTCCCCAAGCCTCTGCCTACCCCAGCTGTGGCTGTGTCCCAGTGTCCCAGCAGCAATTTGCTGGGAGGACATTCCCAGCTCCATGGGTGCATGCTGCAGGCCCATAAAGGGAGCATGAAGGGCATTAGGAAACCCATTGCAAGGCAGCCTGCTCTGGCTGATCACTAAGCCATGCACAGACCATGGAGCGGGAGGGAGAACAGAGCTTCTGTGTGTGACCAGGAAACGTTTTTATTACCATCCTGGGGCCTTAAGCAGTATAATTTTTCAACTGAATATTAGGTTTCTACACAGCAGTGCTTGGCCCAAATTGAAAATCTGTGTATCTTCCAGCAGGCAAGAGCACAGCAGAAGATACCCAGCTTTTCATTTCTAGGTCACTGGCTTATATCAGCTTTCCCTCAGCTGTGACCAAAAGGCGCTAATGTAAAATGAACCCATGACTTGAACATGAGTGTCAGAAATGAATCACAGGATTGTTGGGGTTGGAAGGGACCTCTGGAGATCATCTAGGCCAAGCCCCCTGCCAAGGCAGGGGCACCTGGAGCAGGTGACACAGGAACACGGCCAGGTAGGTCTGGAATATCTCCAGATAGAAAGACTTCACGAATTCCATGGGCAGCCTGTGCCAGTGCTCTTCCATCCTCAGTGTAAAGACATTCTTGCTCATGTTGAGGTGGAACTTCTTGTGATTTAATTCCACAACAACCAACCCAAACTTGTGCAGATTATTTGGCAGGTTCAGTCAAGGGAGTCAAGCACCCAAGTCAGCTGTTTGTACCAAATTAGTTGTAACTCTGTGAGACAAATAGTTTTTATCCTTTTTGGAAATCTCAATTTCAACACAGGGCTCAGAATTTATACTCATATTATTGAGAAAAATCCTGTTTGTTTTGCATATGGACAATTTCCTCTTTAATCTCCATTACACAGTCACAGCTGGGAAAATTTTATAGTTAGACAGCAAACATTTTGCTCCTGCTGCAAGATGTTTGAAATTTCGGAGAACAAACATCCTGGCATACCCTCTTTTGATAACCTGGACTGTCTGTGCTATTAAACCAAAGCAGCCCCAGTTTGAGTTGGGGGCCTGAGGCCATGACATGGCTCACCTGGCAGAGGCCCAAGCTGTGCCAGAGGATGTGCCAACAGTGAAACAACAGGATCCATGCATGAGCTCGTGCCTTAGCTCACTGGAATTTACTGGCCTCCACAGAAGCCTTGGATCTAATGTAAAACACCATTTTTTTTCCTGCCTGACAGCTCTCCTGACAACAGCTGGGCACTGGAGGATGCTCCTTTCTCTCAGACCCCAGTGTCACTGTCAGTAATTGACCATTCACCTTCTGAAGTGGTGCAGCATCATGATTTAACATCTTCCCGGGGTGCATGCAGCTCCTCAGCTGCTCTCAGCTGTGGCTTTTTTAAGGCTGAGGTGCATAAAAAGCTTAATCCTGGCCCAGATAATGAAAAGGCAATGTTTTTTGTTACCATTTCAACTTTCCACTCCTATACAGGAGAAGAACCTCAAATCTCAGAGGGCAATAATGAATAAAAAATTAGAACCCCCCAGTTTAAATGGACACAATGTATCATTCTGATAATATTGAAACAGTCTGGATTTGGTCTTATGTTTGCAAAACAATTTCTTCTACATGCTAACCAAATTTTGAAATGGGTATTTCTGGGCTGAAAGAACGGAACTTTTCATTTAACAGCTGCAAAATCAGACTTTTCAATATTTCAAAGCTTACTCCTTTTTTAGACATTGCATTCCTCAGAACCTACTCCTTCCTGTCAAAAATTCAGTGAATCACTACTTTTCGACGGCAGCAAAGGAAGAAAAGTTTTTCTGAAAAATGCCCTGCCAGGTCTAATAAACTATTTCTCTGTCATATTTGTCTTTGTCTTAAGTTCTGATGAATGTTGTAATGGCTCCATCCCAAAACAGCTGCATTAGAAGATGCGTCACTTGTGTAATTTATTTTTTTTTTCCCCAAATGGGGCAATGGAAGGCTTCCTGAATCATTTGGTACAATGCTACTAGAATTCATATGCAAATTGAAAAAAACAACTGGTAATGCTCACATTAGCCAGTCTCCTGGTGCCGCTTAATAGCTTCTTCAGATAGAGATTCAAATCCTTCACTCTTTTATGTTCAAGATCCACAAAAGGTAAATGCCATGAGTGGGGAAACCTGCAAAAGAAAAATATTCATAAGCATAACTCTTGTACTGTGTTTGCTGGAAACGTTTCCAACTCTACTTAACAAAAGAAATTTATAAGTGGTTTTGCAGGTAGAGGAAGGGATGGGTACAGAGTCCAGAGGATTTTTTACCCTCTCACTCTGGTTCTTCTAATAATTTGCTGACATTTTGTTTCATCCTGTAGCACTTTCTCTGTCTAGATCATGAATTTAAAAGCAAGTAAATAAACGAAACCTAAAAGGCAGTTATTTGCATTTTATGATATCTAAATAATTAGCCCTTTATGAAAAAGGAAACCACTGCCCTCCCCATTTTTTGCACTGTGGCCAGCAGATCTCTGATCTCAGCCCAGGGCTCACGCTGTACACACCCTTACAACAGAATACTGTGTACCAAAGCCTTACAGCAACAGTGAGACATTTGACGAATATATCATTGTTTGCATTTTTACCTCAGCTATTTAGAGTGTAGATAGGTTTTTCAGAGCAGGTCCCTGATACCATATGTAATTTCAGGCACTAGCTTAATAAAAGCAATATATGAAAACAAACGATTGCCATAGTAAAAAAATCAATCCCAACAAAGGCAGTAACAATAATAATAGTAAAAGTAATGGTCTTGCTGAATTTTTATTAAGATGAATTTAATTTCATTTTAGTAGATTAATCATATATGCATAGAATGGCCTTATGTCAATTTTCAAATGCTTTGGTGGTTGAAAACATCAAAAACCTCACATTTTTTTACTTGAATCATCTTTGCATTTTAGAGACAATGCACATTAGATCAGTCAAAAGGTTAGATTTTTAACAATACATATAATCAATTTATATTAACCTTGCCCTGACAAAGGGTATTTATCTCTCAGGTCAAAGGAGCATTAGAAAACCCATCTGTGCTAAATTGTATGTAATGGCTTTTGTGATATGGATTGCTAATAGTCGGATTCTTAATCAAAATTATGCTTTATGCCCTCTAATGTATGGGATAGAAAAAGGCAGAAGTTTGGATCTGGTTATATTTCATGTTCCACCACCCCCACTTGCAAATAGTCAACTGTGTCTTGTTTACAAACCTCCTTTTTTCTCTGCTACAACCTTGTTTATCCCCTAGACCTCAAGAGGCATCTGAAGGCTCCAGACAAATGACTAAAGGAGCTGTCTAGCACGTGGTACATTGGAAAGGGACACTTGGCCAGCCTTTAGAAAGGCAGCTGGGCAATACGGTGAGGAAAAACTCAGCGCTGGTATAATTTAGTTTGCAATTACACCAGCAAGGGACCAGGATGACAGCAGCATACTGTGTGTATGTATGAACTTCCCATTATTTCTGCCCATGGCACTGAAAGATCGGGGCTGGGTTAGGGGCTGCACAGATGAATAGCAAGAAGCGACTCGCGCCTCATGAAATCACAGTGGCAGGACACATAAAGAAGTGGGGGAAGTGAGTGATATGACCCAGGATCATGACATATATGAGCTGCACGGATAAAAATAGAGCCCAGGTCATCTGGCACACATAGATAGCCTGTGAATGTTCTGGGTCCCCCTCTGGGGCACAAAAGGACTTCTTTCAAGGGATTATAGGGAGGAGCTGTTTGGAAGCAGCTTAGAATGAATTAGGCTGTGTAACGCACAGAGAGGGCTCTGGCTGTAAAATGCAGGCCCTCAGAAGATGCATCCTAAGCACAGTGGCCAAAGAGAGGACAGAGAAACTGCTGATTGATAGCACCAAAAACTGCTGGAGTGAAGGACAATACGAACCTTGTGGTGTCACCGAACCCTTTTTTAGAAGGCCTTTGGGCTTTTGCTGAATTGCATTTGTGGCTGAAACCGGCTTTGCCCTGTGAATGCACTTGTGTTAGAAGAGGTGAACTTCCCAACCTGACATTCAGCTTTGCGTCTGCCTTACGTGGATCAGAAAAACATAAACTTGCACCGAGTCCTCCACAGAGGATTCCACTCCCTACTTGTTAGCTTGAACATTGTTCTGTGTACAAATTATGTAATTGAATGTTTTCTTGGGTGAAAAGATTTTTGGCTTTTTAGAAAACAAGAGATAAACACAATTAATACTCTCTCTGAAACCAAATGAGAAGGAGGGTGCGAGAACGCAAGGGTTTGCTTGGGGCAGCTGTGCTTTGACTTGTAAATATAGGCTGAATGTTCACACGTCAGTAGCAAAATTTCAGATTCTAAGAACTCTGAGCTTTTGCCATTAGTTTCCCAAATATAGTCAGTATTTGGCACTTGTATGAAGCACTCTCATATTGCATTGTTTTCTCTTAATGAGACATAAATATATACAATTTCATAGAATCAATACAAAGCAGACACCAAGTCCTTTCTGTTAGCAGTTCCAATTATTCTAGCAATAATAAGCATTTTACCTTTTAAATCATACATTTTTAAACTGATTTTGTGGTTACATTGTAGAACAAGGACTTTTCCTTCCTTTGAAGCATCTGGCATCAGACAGAGTTGGAGCTTTGTAACACACAGACAGACTAATGGTCTGATATAGTATGGCAGTTTCAGTAATAATAACAATTTCCTATAAAGAAATAATTAGTTTTTTATTATTAGGATAAAATCTGGGATACATGAAAAGCCTCAAATTAATGAAGTTTTGTTGGAAAATAATCCAGAACTTTAAAAAAATGTGGCTATCAAGAAATATCATAAAATGAATTACTTTAACAGAATCTGGGGGAAACATCATGCAGTGACAGGTTACTGCTGGGACTGAATTATGACAATAAAGCCCCTGGTGCTCTTAGAGGCAGCCTCAGTATATGCAGATTAACCCTCTGTGAGTTCTGAAACGCTCTTTGTGAAAATGTTGTGAGGGATTTTATTAAAAGTAGATTTATCTGAAAAATGGCTAGTACTACTTTTGAAATTCACTCTGGGGTTTCTGAGGTCTATGCATTTCTACGGAGAAATGTATTTTCCTTCAAAGGGCTCTGTCATATTCAGGTACTTATTAAATACTTTATTTTACAACCTAATGGTTAGTGTGTAAATATCTCCAAATCAAAATCATCATTCAAGCACTTGCAGTATTTGTTTGGTGAAATTTCAAATCTCACCAGCTGCTGCAAACCAGTTCATGCGAGCCAGTCATAATGAATCAAATTGGAGTGCCCTTAGATAGAAGAAAGATTCTCTAGAACAAACTAATCTAAAGCCATTTACTTGAACGCTTCTCACAAGCTTCAGGGAATATAAAATTTGGATCTGAAATTCTTGGATTTTAAGTCAAAACCATGTTGTTTGTAGCTATGTACTTCAGGTCAAACGCCAAACCTTTATATTTTTCAAGCATATCACTTGAATCTCAACTTGGTTCAAGTAAACTGCTTGTATTTTAGTCCAGTTTTATGTTTTATTGTGGATAGAGCCTGAAGAAGGGCTTGTATCAGGTGACACAATGACTGTGTGGAGAGGACTACTTTCTTCTCAATGAGGGATTCAGTATAATGTATATGATATTTGTAGATATTTGTAGAAAAAAATAACTCCACTTGTATTACTAAAACCATGGAAAATCATTACATAAGGAAAAAATGTTTAAAGTAAGACAGAAATAAACCCTGGGACTCGTTGTCCCAAGAAAATATGAAGAAATAAGATTCAGAAATGAAAAGCAGGAATAGACATGCACACAGACAAAAAGTAATATTCAGAATTATTGCAACTAATGGCAGCATATTTTTCAAAAGATTTTAAACTGAATTATGCCAGGCACAAAGTTTGGATTTTGGAGGAAGGATAGTACATAAGATTAGTGCATATTTCTTGGCTGAGGAATATGTGCATCTTTTTGTAAGCAGGTTTTTCATGCTGGCCAGTGTCAGACATTGGCTTGTTTCTGTTCTGATCTAGTGGAAATATTCCAATGTAAACATTGCTTTAATATATGGATTTTTTTATGAGTTTTGATAAGCATCAAGGAGAAAGTAAAAGCTATTAAAGGCCTTATCGTGCCTTTAATGGACTCATCACCACTTACCCTTTGATTTCAGGAATAGTTTTGTCAGGTCCAAGCTGTTCTCCCTTTTCTCCTCCCATTAAAAAAGGAACAATAAAATATATAAAAGCTAGACTGTCACAGTGGTCTATGATTCAGTTTCTTCTGAATAGAAGCCTTGATAGGATATGTCGCGCTGCCTTTGTGTTTCTAAAAATATGTCTGCCATGCATATTCTCACAGATCTATCTGAGCACAGAGAGCACCACTTAACAGCAGAATAACATTCATTAATATGCTGCCTTACTCTGGGAGGGCATGAGATGGAAATTGCTTCTGGAGATGGCCGTGAAGTTTTGAGAACTGGTCAAACGATTTTTCCACAAAAGTGACCACGTTGCAGGTTTGCACCACCTGGACTAGATATA